TGTTAAGAACATCAACCATTCCATAATTAACATATCTCTTTATAATCCTTATGGAAAAATAAAATAGGAACACATTTCAAAAGGTATTTTGCAAAAGAAATAGGAAACAAAACTGATTTAATGGGAAATAAAAGTGATTTTATTTGTGCCATGCTGGCCTCAAATCACCCACTTTGTCTCCTGTGGGGAAGCAGGGCTGTTTGGCTCTGGAGTGCTTTATTGCTGCTCTGTTATCAGAATTGTATTCACACTGGAGCTCACGCAGAAGCCAGCGATGTAGGCGTATTTGGGTTGTGTTTCAGGTCAGGTGCCAGTTTAACGTGGACTGAAATCTACCTCCTGCTGCTTTGCAAACTCAACCCTTTTCCTCCAAAAGTGGAGTGTGGCAACAGCAGCTTTTTCTCCTTTATTTTTCCTGGACATTTGAAATTTCTGACTACGTTAAAAAAATGTCCACCTGAATATCCACTTGCATTTTAAAGTACCTGACTACATAACCCATTTCACACTTATTCCACCCAAATAGTCCACTCCGGGCCAAATCCCAAGAAGATGCCAGCGCTTATTTTTTGCTTCGCCTTAACATCTCAGCTGTTGGCAAAGAAATATGAATTCTTACTGTAAGGTGTTGGAGGGCCTTTTTGAACTAAATGTAGTTGTTGCAAAATGTTTTGGAAAGACATCACTGAATTCTGATTATTTTGTGTTTACTTACCTTTTCTCTAGGACCAGACACAAAATGAAACAACACAGTTTTCATAGAGTATTTCAACTGAGGACATTATTTAGCCTCCAAACTCAGTTAAGTTACAGGAAATTGCCAATAAAGATGCCGAGGACATCTCTACAGCCTTCACTATGTCAACTAGAGGGACTAGTTACTAATAAATATTTGCTAGTGTAACCAGAATCTCTCTCTTAGCTCCATGCCTCAAACGTACTTTGAAGCCCAGAAGAGCAATCTGTCATTGTTGACCTGTTCTTCACTGGAAAGGCAACAATTTGTCTGTGAAACATGTCCAGAGTTGGAGTGATTGATGACCCAGAGCATAGCCATTATATAACAATACCAGAATTACTCCCTTTGCAAATTATTTGGCAATATGACAATGGTTCCTACTGAGATAGAAGGGAACCTGCTGTATTTCTAAAAAGGCATAGGCTGGCCTGCTGAAACAAGAGAAGTTTCCAGGTTGGGGTGGAAAGCCTATTTCCTGAATGGAAGAGCACTGCATTGATCCTTACCTGGCCCTTAATGTGACACTGGGCTGAGCAGCAGGTGTGGTCCCCAAGTTCCCTGGACAGCTACATCAGGAGCCTGAACCAAAGCTCTCTTCTGGACTACACCAGTGGGTTTCTTTCCCTTGGAAACCAGGGGAGTTAGGGAGAACAGGCTGCTCTGTGCCCGGATTTTACCAAGACACAAGGCTGATGTGTGGCTGGAGCACTCAGGCTCAGGAGCTTGGAAGAGCTCCGGGTTTTCCAGGTTGTTCAAGGGAGCACAGTCTTCCTGACAGCCCAAACACAGGCACAGGTAGGATGAAATACGCATTGCTATTTTGTTTATAAATTTGAGCAGCTTTAAACCTTGTTTACAAAAACGGCAAACACTGGTTGCTCACTACCAGTCTTCTGCCTCTGGGTAGCTGTAAGGAGCAGGTGACTAACACAAAGAGCTCTCTCAAATGGCCTATGACCTCAAAATAGAGCACCATAGCCAGCATTTGGGGCTACTCTCAGACTATGGATCCTATTCATTCCCTAAGGGAAGACGGAAAGGTGAAGAACCGTTCTTTAGGGTTATTCAAAGACTGAAGGAGGCAGAGGTGTAGGTGACATATAAGTGCTCCACAGTGGTGACTGTTGACCATTACTGCCTTTGTGAGCCGGCTGGAGCCCTTCCATGAGCAGGCTGAAGCCCTTTCCAGGCAGTTGCTCTAAGGGACTTCAAGACGTCACATAGCCTCTCACTTGGTCTCCAGATGGGACCGACTGTGCTATCATCATTCCTGAGAGCCAGCAGCCTAACCTGTCCTCTTAAAAAATGACGGAGGCTCTGCTGTCTCCCTAGGCAATCTGTCCCCTACGTTTCACTGTTACATAACTTAATGCTCCTTTCCTGTGATTTAAGTCCATTAGTTCTTGAGGCCAGAGAACAGTTTGTCCCTTCCGTTTTGCAGCTATTTCTATGTGTTTGAAAAAAGTTATCACGTCTCCCCTCAGTCTCCTCTACTCCAAACAAAGCAATCCCAGTTTCCTAGTTCATCACACAGAAGCCAGGCTGCTGCTGGCTGGAGATAGCTTTCAGTAACTGCTGACTGGGCTGGATTTGTACCAGCAGCCTGTAGGTGAAAGCCTTCAGCAGCTTTAGCTTTCTGAGCCAGGCTGTCCTTTCAAAGATGTGAAACTTTCTTCTGTAATCCACTACAGCGCATCAGTAAATATACATTACAGTACAGTAAATTTCTGGAATTTTCTCCATCACATTAGGATGTCATAACAAGAAGGAAGGAAAAGACACCTTATTTCATGAAACTGTACCGAAGGGCTAAACTTAAAATAGGCTTCTAAACAGGTCTCGAAGAGCAGAGAGCAAAAACCACAATATATTGTGTCAATACCTTCCCCACTCCATCCTCTCTACTGAACAAATGAAATGAAATGCAGGAACCATGTCTTGGTTTGCAAATGAAACTTGGTATTTGTATTTGCTGCAATGTCTCAGAATGCTGTTTTTCATTTTAGACTTTGCATGGTAGTAAACACTGCAATGCTTTACATTCATTAAGCTCGGGCCCATTTACTCTGTGCAGGCAAGGCAAGTGCATGTATCTCAGATCCATAAAGCATCAGTTCAGAATTTCACAGGAAATAAATGAGCCTAAGCCAGAAGTCCAATTTCCAGAGTCCAGCTCACTAAAGCTAAACAAGCACCTTAGATAAATATGGCCCATTTTAAATGAAACGTTAGTGTAATTTGATAACTGTCAATAATTCCCTCATTATGCTGAAATGAGCTTGTCAACCAAGGAGATTGCTGCATGGCTGATCTTAATTTGCTAATAAAAACCGCAGAGAAGAATTTCAGCTAAGCTGGAACTATTTGATTCATAAAAGTGCAATAGTGCACTTTTTAAAGCGTTGCTTCCCAGTGCTGGCTCCTGACTGGCTGAAGCCCAAAGCCAGTTTGCTCTGCAGCCTGTAAGAAGGCAGCTTTGCTATGTACGAACAATGAGCAATTGTCTCTCTAAATCACTATTATTCCTTAGCCCATTATATTTAATTTATTTTTAATCACATTGTATAATAGAAATAAAATCATTGGATTAAGCATATATCTAGCAGCAGGAGCCCATTAGCCTTTGACAATGTTCTGTTTCATTGACATTATATCTTCATTGTAGACAGTTTCTTTGCCATCATTAGTCCTAAAATGACTATTGGATTTCAAGGGTTTCTCCCTAATCCATAATAAGATTTACTTGCTAACAGCACAAAACAAAACAAAGATATGCTTCTATTGTTTTACTGCTGTGGAATTCTTATTTTAAGCTACTCAGAAAAGTCAAGAATAAATCCAGATATTGTAAGTATTAAAGTTTTCCTGCATAATTCTGATTCAAGGGAAAGCCTCAGTGACTTTGTAAGCTTTGGATCTTCGTTATTCATTGTGGCTTTATTTTACTTAAGCAAGCAACAATACTTTGTCAGTTCCTGAACTGAGTAAGATCTACTATTCCTTGCACAATTATTTTTTCAGACCAATTAAAGCAAATCTCAGTACAGTCCATTTTCTCCAGACAGGGCTATGAGAGGTTCACCAGATTCCATGGGAAGAAAGAGGGAGAAACCTCCATGCCAAGGTTGCCAACAATTCCTCTGTGATAAGTGCTAGTTAACAGAGTCAGCGCTAATATGAGGAAGTTAAAAAACTCCTCCGGCATGCTGATCCCCATGGGATAATTCAACAACTCTTCATTTGTACCAACGACAGCCACAGTTAAATCTAAAACTAGATTTTTCCACACCCTATTAACAGCAGCATTAGAATGCAGGAAGGACCATCCAGAAAAAAAGAGCGTTTTCTGTTATCTCATAGTTATCTTTGAGGAGGTGGCAGATTTCCCTGTGAAAATTATCCTTATAGATTGCCTCCTATTTGAGGATACACTGGTACTATCAGGTGGTGCTCTTTTTATGCTGAAATTGCCAGCAACACTTAAGATTATCTGCATGACTCCTTCAGCTGGGAGAGCAGCTTCAATAGATACCTATTTTCCATATATGTAGACAAGCTATGACACTTTCACCCATACTGACATGATCTGCATAAGCCATGTGGTTTCCTCCATTAAGAAGGGTCCACACAATATAGTCAACTCTCCATTATCTTGGCTAATAGGAGAATAGAATAACCCAGATAAGGGAAAGACATGCATAATTATTGCTTCCAGATAAGAGCCGGCTCAAATATTTCTGCACTGTGCTCCCCAGACAGAGCTTGTACTTCTGTCAGAGCTTGCTAACTTACAGTTTATTAACGCAGGCATTACCTGCATCCATCTGGTACGAGCTAGGCAGCTTGGGTGTCTCTATGATTTAATCATCCCACAAGTAATGTACTAACTGATAATCATCTTGGCTATAATTAAATAACAACTTTCATATTCACCCTTTTATATGTGCTGATACTGATACAGTGTAGACCCAGTCATGCATAGCCATGTCAAGGTTGAATGTGGCATAATGAGGAAAGGCAAATTATGCATGAAATGCAAGAGGAGCATGTTCAAAAGACAAGGGAATGCGGAAGGCACACAACGATGTAGAAGGGCTTTATATTCACATTTAACAACCCGGAATTAACACAAGCACTTCCTCTCTTATTCTCAGATAGCCCTCGCAGAGGAATTATGCTCAGGACTGTCACAGGTAACACATGCATGAACTAGAACTACCTTTCTACATGAATTGTCACAGTTTGGGTTTGTTTTGTTTTTTTATTGTGTTGCAATTACTCAGCCACGTTGAACATTTGTCAGTTGTGAGTTCTCATAATCTGTAATCTCCACAGACCTTTTAGAACTGATACATAGCCTTCCTGATCTCAGCATTGGTATATAAATTGTATGGTTCAGTCACAAGAGACACTCAGTTCTGTTACAGGTATATGGGCAAAACACTGTCTTCACCACTATCGAAAGAAATACAGACTCTCTTACAAAGAAAATGAAAACATTTCAAATAATTTTTTTCTGGATTCTTATGGGAGGAAAGGGATTATAAAGAAATAAACTCAGGCTTAATGAAATCAGCAACACTATTTCTTATACATTGAAGTGAATCATCTTATGGAAACAAAACCATTGCCAGGCAAGTTTTTAATGGTGTACTTGTACATGACATTTTGTTGAGGAATTGATTATTATATTCTGCCACATTCCATGTTACGTTTACGAATTATCATTGCCTTGGTTTGTCTGCACATTACAATTAGACAGAGCTACACAATGATGCAAGTCACAGGCCAAACTGTAAAGGGAAAATTGGTGGGTTTGAGAAGTTAGCCATATCATGTGATGTTACTAGACTGGCTACAGAAAAAGCAGCTGACAGCAAATCACAGCGCCACACAGATCAAATCCCTAAATATCTGTTCATTTTGCTTAAAGCATCACATACAGTGTTTAGATCACTGCGGAGGTCCTGGACAACATTTTCTATACTTCTGGTATCCTTCAGAATCTCAATGCTTTGTGTATACGGATTGAAATACACAGAGAAGGGACGATTGATTGATTTGGCAAAGTCCCTGAAAGAAAAATGAAAAAAGAAAATTGACACCTCTTTTTTTTCCAACCACTAAAGAAGAGAAAATTAGATCTTTGAGTCAAGGGAAATAATTTACCTCATCTTTTCTTTGGCTTCTTCAAAACTTTCTGAAACAAAGTAGGCTTCCTGGAAAGTAGTGATAAGGCATTCTTGCAAACAGGTTGTCTTTGGATCAAATGTTTTCACATTGGCCTTGTCAGAGAGAGCATGCTGCAAAATACACCACACGATCTGTTAAACCATATTTTGATAGTGCTGTGTATCTATACAACTGTTCTCATATACAGCTTTTATATCACTCTGCTGTTTGTTTCCTATTAGTTGGTAGCCTCTCATTTTACATACAGTAGTTTTTCAGTTTGAACAGAATAAATCATTCGTTACATAAAAAAGCTCTTTTTATGAGAGTACGTTTTCCCCAAAATAATTATTAAAATAATAAAGAGGAGATTAGAAACACACCTGCCATGTAGGCATACAGACCTAAATCTTC